CATAGAGGGATTAGTAGAACCAAACACAATATCATCCACATAAATTTGCACAACAAGCATGTCAGATGAGGATCTTTTAATGTATAATGTCTTATCAACATACCCTTGAGCAAAATTCTGCTCTTTGAGAAAGCTAGTCAGTCTGTCATACCAAGCTCTAGGAGCTTGTTTAAGGCCATAAAGAGCTTTGTTTAGTCTAAAGACATGATCTGGAAATTAATAATCAACAAACCAAGGAGGCTGAGCAACATAAACTTCCTCTTGAATTATGCCATTCACATTAGACACTCTTCACATCCATCTGATATAGAGGAAACTTCATATGACTAGCAAAGGCACATAAGAGACAGATAGACTCAATACGAGCTACTAGGGTAAAAGTTTCTTCGTAGTCTATTCCCTCCTCTTGACAGTAACCCTGAGCAACTAATCTGGCTTTATTTCTTATAATCTGCCCTTCCTCATCAGTTTTATTTCTATAGACCCACTTAGTTCCTATAATAGTCTTTCCTATAGGTCTAGGAACCAATTCCCAAACATTTAAGTAACTAAACTGAGTTAGTTCTTCTTGCATAGCAAGATTCCATTTTTCATCATTTAGGGCCTCTCTAATATTCTTAGGTTCAACTTTGGACACAAAAGCATACTGACCAGGAGTATATTTATCTCGAGTTTTGCGTCCTTCATTCATGCTCCCAATAACTTGAGTTTGGGGATGACGCTTTTGGATGTGTGGAGGAGCTTGAGGTATGTCAGTCCCACCAATCTCATCATTTGTAGTCTCTGATGTAATGGGAGCAACTTGTTCTGTTGCAGTATTGGTGTTTGAGATTACTTCTGGGCTATTATCAACTGCACTTTGGTTTATATCATGAAGCAAATCCGAGAGATCTATCGGAACCGTTCCAGTCTTAGATGCTTCAGAAAGAGGATTAGTCTCATCAAAAATAACATGAACTGACTCTTCTACTCTCTTGGTGCGCTTATTATAAATTCTATATGCTTGCCCTTTTAAGGAATAACCCAGAAATAAGGATTCATCTGACTTGGCATCAAACTTTCCAAGGTTATCCTTAGTATTGAGGGAGAAACATCTACTTCCAAAAGGATGGCAGTAGGCTATATTAGGTTTTTTATCCTTTAAAATCTCATAGGGAGTTTTATTCAGATGTTTGCGAATTAAAACTCTGTTTGTCACATAGCAAGCTGTGCTTACAGCTTCAGCCCAAAAGAACTTAGGAAGATCATAGTCCAGGAGCATTTTTCTGGCTGCTTCTATGAGAGTTCGGTTTCTCCTTTCAACTACCCCATTTTGTTGAGGAGTGCGAGGAGCCGAAAACGTATGGTTAATACCATTTTCCTCACAGAATTCAGCAAACTCATCTGAAATGAACTCACCTCCATTGTCACTTTTAACAACTTTGATATCACTATTCAGTTTGATGAAGGTTCTAAATTTAGACACAGTTTCATCTTTGGAAGCAAGAAAGTAGACCCAGGTAAAACGTGAAAAATCATCTACCAAAACGAAAGCATAATTTTCCCCCCAATACTAGTTACATTACATGGTCCAAATAGATCCATGTGAACCAAATCAAACGGTTTAGAGGAAGTGATATCAGGTTTGGACTTAAAAGGTTTCCTAGTGTGCTTTCCAGCAGCATAGGCTTTACAAAAGAAATCAATTCTTTCTTTTAGCCTAGGAATACCTCAGACAGCATCAGACTTGGAAAGACAAGCTAATTTTTGCAAGTTTATGTGACCAAGCTTCTTGTGTCACAACATTTCCTGATAGCAGGTAAGAGGCACAAGACACGTTTCATTGAAGGCATCAAGATTCTGGAAATCTATAACATACATATTGTTAACACGTTTCCCTACAAACATAATTTGATTGTTTTTTAGCCTTTCTACTAAACAGTGTGATGCTTCAAATGTGACTCTATTTCCACTACTGCAGAGTTGACTGATAGACAACAAATTAAGTTTTAAGCCATCAACACACAGAACATTTTTAACTGAAGGTGCTGGTGCCTTTCCAATGGTCCCTCTGCCAATTATGATACCACAATTGTCATCACCAAAGTACACTTTTCCTTCAGTTTGAAGATTAAGAGATGAGAAGAGAGCTTTGTTACCTGTCATATGATGAGAACATCCACTGTCAAGATACCATTCTTGTTGATTGTCTTCTTTGATTTCTGTTGAAGTAGTTTGAATCTCTTCTGAGTTGTCTCCCATTTTGACCATATATGTTGTTTCATGGTGACCTTCATCTTCAGAATCAGTTTCATAATCACTCCATGAAGCTTTCATCGCCTTTTTCCTTTGCTTTATAGGTCAGAGGACAGTGGGATCTAATATGCCCCACCTTTCCACACTTATAACATGCATGTGGTCCCCTTTCAGCATTATCCGAAAATCTTTCCTGAGGAGCAGTTCTTTCTGTAAAATTGCTTTTGAAACGATTAGCTCTGTTAGTGTCAGAAAACCTTATATTGGGATCAATAGTCCTGGTATTGTTTTCCTGATTACGACTGAAGTTGTTTGACAGACGAAACCCAGTTTCACGACTAGATGATCCAACCCTATTTCTATTTTCCTGACGCCTTTGATTCTTATCATTCCTATATTTTAGCATCCGCTGATATTGCTTAGTAATGAAGGCAAACTCCTTTTCGAATTCAAAGTCTTCCTCATTATCAGATTCATATCCACTAGCATGAGATCTAAAGGCCAGACCCTGAGTTCTTCTGTCATTTCCAGGCTCATAGTCATTTACTCGAGACTGAAAGGCCAGATTTTTCTTTCTCCTATCTTCATCTTTACCTACTTGCCTAATAACATGCTCATGACTCATCAAGGAACCAATTAATTCATCAACAGCTAGGGTATTCAAGTTTTGGCTTCTTCTATGGCGGTTCTCTTGGGTAACCATTCCTTAGGAAGGGATCTTAAAATCTTCCTAACCAATTCTTTTGATGAAAAAACTTTACCTAACCCCTTCAGCTTATTTGTTAGACTAGTGAAGCGAGAATACATATCATGAATACTTTCACCTGGAAGCATATCGAAGACCTCATACTTGTGAAGTAGAAGATCAATTCGAGTCTCCCTGATGTTTGAAGTTCCTTCGTAGGTAGCTTCTAAGGTAGCCCAGATCTCCCTCGCAGTTTCACACTGCTCGACTTTGTCGATTTCCTCTGGTGACATAGCAGTTTGGAGAATGTGCATTGCTCTGCAATTTAGCTACGCACTTTTCATCTGTGCATCCGTCCACCCATCCTGCTGATCCATATCGATTTCTCCTGGTCCATCTCGAACAACTCTGCATAGCTCCGTATCAATTCCCCACAAGAAGGTTTTCATACGCTTCTTCCATGAGTTTTAATTTGAACCAGTGAACCATGGAGGATTGTTGTGAGACGCGGGGCCAAAAGTTGAGTGCGAAGTTATTGCCATAGATCGATTTACCCTTGGTAGTGATGAACCTCCTCAAGATCAGGGTTTGATACCAATTGTAAGTAGGATCGAAATGGATGCTTTTGGCTTCGAAAAAGAAGGTCATAGAGGAAGAAGAGTAAAGTAGCAGAATGAACTAGGAACAAGATAGTCAAGCAGGCAGAGGCTTTCTATCTTTCCACTTCCACTGGGCTTTAGAGTATTAGGCCCAACGACTAGCAAATAAAAGGAAGCTTGATCTGAGAGCTTGAGAAGGAGGAGGCCCAAATTGACTTATGGCACTACTTCCTTGATTCTGCAACACAGCAGATTCTCAGAACCAAAACAGAACAGAGACTCGCAGATATGCAGAAAAGAAATGGCTGGAAAGTAAAGAGAGACACAATGTTTTTTTAATGTGGTTCACCCTTGTGCAATGGTTACTTCCACATCCCAGAGATCAGCATCTGCTGTTCTCCAACAAACACGTTGATATTTTTTAATGATATTATCTCCTTTGGACCAAACTCGCACGAATATGCTATTGGCTCCCTTCCCAAAAGACTTCGTACTAATTGAGTTCAGTGAATACTATAATATAAAAGGGTCGATTCTCTTGTGTTTCTAATGTGGCACTTGGATTGTACTGTAACAAACGTCCCATCAAGACATGAACCACAAACTTCTTGTGTTCCCCTCAACGATTATCTTGATCCGCCCAACCCATCTTGTATCGATGGGCTCATACACACAAGGAATTATGAAAAATGGATCTCATTTGATCCACCAGACAAACATATATCTCAAATCTCAAGGTCCATCGAACTTAATTCTAACGCACTAGATTCGAACTTCAAAACCAGGATATGATATCACTTGATGAAGTTGAATACTCCATTAGTACGATCATGGTACAAAAAGGCGCGTTTAACGCTTAGGTACCCCCTAGACTATAGGACTCCAAACGCCCCGTAGTGGTTCTGCGGTGAGTTAGGTATCGATAATAGTTGGCAGGCTAAGGCGACAACTAGGTGTTGCCTAGGCATAATTAGATAGAGTTTGCACTCGATATCTAAGTGGAAAATTAACATCATCATCAAAGTCAATCCTCTATATCGATTTTCAATAACTTTGCGAGTTATTGAGCTTTGATTCTATTAACTTGTGAGCTAATTTTTTTTGTTATTACGTGTTAATTAAATTATTAATCATTTGAATTGGGGGATCTAAAATTGTAATTACATTCATCATGTAGTACACATTATTATTTGCTTCGAGCACCACGCTTAGGCGCTCTAGACAAGGCTCCAAAACGCGCCTAGCTTCTTATTGAAATTTAAGTACAATATTGTTCTCTTTGAACTAATTAAGTCGCATATATTTACTTTTGTATTCTTTCCAAAAAGTCATCATACTAATTTAGTTTGATAAACACTAATATTTAATTTTTTATTTTACTTATATATCCGATGTGGTATTTGGATGGATTAAAAACCCGTATGTTTTGAGCCTAGTTATGTGCTAGCTATTGTTGAATCAAAACTAGAAGAGCATATATAGCCACACAATTTCATAATCAGCTATGTTCTAACGAGAACTAAACCAATACATTCTTCATATGTAATTAAACATGTACTGAGTGAAGGCATGCAATTAATCAATTAAACCGTACGTGCTTATACATCATATCCCTGGGATTAGGAACTAATGGAGCACACAAAATTAAGAACTAGATAATTGGTAATACATGAGGAACTTAATTAATTGACTAGTAGCTAAGACCATGGCAGAAGTTGTATAGCATCATGAGCAATCAGCCTTGGAATTTCACTTGAGCAGATTGACTGCTCATGATGTTATATCATTTTCACTATCGGCTCTCTCTCGATCTCGATCCCTAACTCTCTCTTGAACTCCCTCCCTACAACGATTCCGGTGACACACCCGTAGAGCTAGTATGTGTACACATTGCTCGTCGGACCGTTCACCGGAACCCTCCACCGAGGGAAGGAGCCCAGTAATCCGCCCCATTCTCGTTGCCAACTTGCAATGTGCAAGAGAGTGGGACAAGGCACAACCCTCTACTCCTCAAATCCGTCTTTGGCTCCTCATTGAAGTCCTACAAATTAAAACATAATGTACCAAAATGTAAGGATCGATAAATAAGTAATCCGTAGACATGCACCAAAGTTCGGGTACCAAATAAGAAAAAGGGTCGGACCTGCTGATGATCAGAAGAGGCTGCTGCTTTCCTCTTCAGACAGCTGCTGCCATCGTTGTTCAAGAGCTGTATTGGTCAAAGAAAAAAAGTTACACAAAAGGGATCAGCTTTTTTTTCCTTTGTTTGCTTTTTCACTCACCCAACTTTAAACATTATACAATTCAAACCTAAAGATCCCAACTTTGATCATCCTTTGTAAAACTGGTGAAGGCATGCAACAGTAAGTGCTCTTTTATGGGAATTCATCGAGTTTTTTTTTTAACCTTTTACTATCCATAGTTTTATTTATGAACCAAATCAGCACCTTCTTTTTCTATTTTTAATCTTTCAAGTCCTGATCCAATAAAGAAAAGTAGAAAATTACCTGACCAGGGTCTTCTGGGAAGACACAATTCCTTTCTCCTTGAACCTGCACACAAATGAAACAAAAGTTTTTATAAAAATAATTTTCAATCATTTACATACTCAAATAACCCTAGAAAGGATCATAATAATCAAATCATCACTGTTTTTAGTTAATTAATCACATCCTTCTATCCACGCATGCAGAGAGAATATATCAGCATGACTCAGATTTTTCTGCTAGCAGGGGCATAGGGACTTGAAATGATAAAAAAAAACATAAGAAATAAAATTCTCTTACAGAATGTTGGTGGTGGTGTTGCTGCTGCTGATGTTGCCTCATGTTCGAGGATCCACTGCCCAAGTACGGCAAGCTGAGAGCCTGCAATTTCAGGAATGTTATCGCATCATTGACCATATCGACGCAATATTATCAGACTTCTATCGATAATTTTTATCGTATCTCTGTTCTACTTCAAATTGTTACGATTAGATTTATCGATTTTACGACTTAAAAAAATTGGTTTTTGTTGAGCAAATAATTTTTAGGGAAAGGGGGAGGAGGGGGGGACCTCTGGGAATTTGCATGGTTGTCTGGAATTCTAATTTTTTAAGGACAAAAGTGGGAGGGGAGGGAAAGAATAGAAAGAAAGAAACATCACCTCAATTTGGCTTTGAAGGAATCTGATGTACCCTATCGCTTCCAACAGGACAGAAGCTGTGTCAGTCTGCAAAAGGAGGAGGAGGAGGAGGAAACAAATGAAAATTAATAATGAACCGCCATATCACACCACAAACATCCAAACCCATATGTTTTCTTTCTTTAGTTCCCTTGTCTTCTTTTTTACAGCTTTCAAGAAACAAGGGGTATCACAGAAACTAAATTGGTAAAGGTGGATTTGAAGGAAAGCCCAAATAGAGAAGCTAGCTATATATATACAACTCGAACTCGGTTAGCATGTTGATGGGTATGATCATCGGTTTGTATTCGATATTTGAGATTGCAAGATGCTAGTGATTAAGTGACATTTAACCTGTTCTGACACATACCCATTAGTAAAACAAGTCCCTTTCAATATGGGTTTGACTGAGATTTAAGCAAGAAGGTAAGAGTATACAAACCTTGCCAAATGGAGAGACAAGCTGGTGAAGAGAAGTGATTCTATCTCCCAGTTTCTCCTTTCTCACCTAGCAAATACAATTTGATAGAATGAATCATAACATGAGATGAGAAGTAAGTTCCTGATGGGAATTTTATTCTTCATGAAATATTTATTTTTATATACCATCTTTTTTTCTTTGTGGCCAATAATATGTAAGGTGAAAGGAATCACGTTACTTTGGAGAAATAGACAATCAAGAAAGACAATAGAGAGCCACCATCCCCTTTTGTAGTTGTTTGGGTGTGTTTGTTCATATCTATGTATGTCTCCATACACATGCGATTCTGTGCAAAATACTTCATTTCCCCCAAATTATTTTAATTGAAACAGAAAGAAAGAAAGAAAAAAAACTGTATACAATAATACATAATAAGCAGCTAGCAGCAGCTTAATCTCCATTAATTACCTTAAAGGGAGATTGGGTTGCAGTAGAAGAAGAAGAAGGTTGAACCCTAGCTTTCTTTGCTACCCCAGTTCCATTAGTGCTGTTGCTCTAATTCATTATTAAATCAAAGAAAAAGCAGAACAAAGGGGAAACAAAAGTCAATATAGTTAATCATGATTTAGGGGGACTAATCCAGCTTTTTTTATGATCAATAATCATCGTCACCACCAGAAAACCGACTTCAGAAAAAGAAGAAGAAAAAAGTAGCATTTCCACCAAAGCAACATATTAATTAATAACTAGTTAATAAATGTTAAAAGGATTACTATATATATATATATAGTAAACCCTAGCGAGCTAGTAATTACTACTCTATACGTATGGAGTATAGTATGTACCTCCGACGACCGATCCGCCGGTGGAGGCGGCGGCGGGTGGCCAACTCCGAGGTGCTTGGCAGCGGCGGCGGTGGTGGAGAAGTCCAACAAGCTGCTAGTGAAGCTTGCCGAGTTGGGAGACGGAGAGTTGCTGTTGTTATTAGCCATGATTTGGTGAGACCAATTAGCAGCCGCAGCTTGATGGTGGAAGTCTTGGTTTGCATGGTGGTGGCCGCCATAGCTTCCGGCAGAGCTCTCTTGCTTCACATCGACGTTGTTGTTCAGCATCAGCTGCTGGTGATGATGATCTTCCCAGTGCTCGTCCTCGAACTTCTTGCTCGCTTGTTGAAAGTGGTTCAATAATTGGTTCGTTCCTTCCTTCTCTTCATCCCCCACCATCAATCCTCCCCTTCAGACAACGGAAAAAATTGGGACGAATCAGATTTGGATCTTATACCATTTTCTATCATCAATATTTTTCATACGCGAAAAATAATACACAAAACTATACTCCGCGTCGCAGAATATACATAAACTCCAAAAGGGATTACAAGCGAATTTTTCAGATTAGATCTTATATAATTTCCGTCTGTAATTTTGGTTTTGCTTGTTACACGAGGGAAGACACTGCGGGAGAGATATGAGAAGTTATTCCTTTTTTCGGTTTGATAAATAAACTACGAGAGAAAAATGAAGAGGAAGGGAATATATGAATCCATCATTTCTTTTCAGATGAATATAAAATCACAATCTATATATTATCGAAAAAGAGAGGATGAGAAGGTATATATTTACAGGAGGAGTTGGCTCCATGATTCAGGAAGTTGTTGTTGTTGTTGTTGATGGTCTTGGGCCGCGGTGGCGGTGGCGGTAGAGCCGTCGAGCCAAGAAGGGAAAGGAAGTGAGGAGGCGGAGGAAGAGGAGGAGGAGGAAGAAGGTGAAGGGGCGAGATGAGTAGGGAAAAGGGACGACGAGTAGTTGTTTGGGAAGAAGTTATTATTGGGAAGAAGCTGGTGGTGGTGGTGGTGGTGAGGCGACGACGTTGTGGTGGTGGTTGGCGGCGGAGGCCTCATGTTATTGATGCTACTCCACCAGTTAGGGTTGCCGCCGCCCGCCATCATGATCTGCTGCTGCTGCACCGGCGAGCTCTGCAACACGTGGCCGCGATTCATAGCAAACCCTTTTCTCCAGTCTTCTTCTTCTTCTTCTTGCCTAAGGGAAAGTCTCCTCCTTATTTTCTGTTGTGGTGTTGTTTGAAGGAATTTAAATGAAGTGTGAGGGAGAAGAAGGAGAAGAGAGGCTTTTGTTTGTCTTTACTTCAAACTTTCTTGCTCTCTTTCTTTTATTATTGGCTTAAGCTTCTTTTTTTTCTTCTTGTTTTTTGGAGGGGTCTTCTCTTTTCTTTGGCTTCTTTTTCTTTACATTTGTTTTTATGTTTTTGTTGTTGTTATTATTTTTTCCCGCCCCACTCACTCCTCCCTTGCTTTGTGCTTTATCTCAAAGTGGGACAGGAAAAGGTGGTGGAAGAATTTATCATAGAACTCTAATGAAAATTCAGAAAAAAGAAATTACAAATTAAGAGGAAACATCAGTTGAGGAGGTACGTTGAAGTTATATAGGGTTATAGCCCTTTCAAATTCGAAATATATATTACATTACATGTAAAATTTGTATCAAATTTAGAAAATAGAGTCGTTGATAAGGCATTAACTTTCCTCCCTCAATCATTACGATTCAAGTCAACCGTCCCTCAGTTAAATTCCTCGCTCCGTAAAAACTATGAAGGTTGTTTTTTATGAGATTGTTATTAGGTTACTACGAATAACATCTTCAATGGACACCACATTAACTGATATCGTCGTCAAATAAATTTTGGAGTCGTGGGTCTCTTCAGCCTGAGCGAGACGATGACACCATCTCAGAAGGGGAAGGGGAGGTCAAAATGGTTACGCACTACAGACTTTGAACCCAGTTTCTCTGAGAATATAATTAGGTGCTACCCCTTCAAGACTTCAACTAACCCTAGCTCAATGCCTTAGTGACCTAATCCAGGCATGGAGGATATGTACTAGAAATATGGTTATGAACACCATTGAACTCCAATTATTCAATGGATGAACGTATATATATGCATATTTCTTCCATTAGTTTGATGGTATGGAAGAAATTTCTGAAGGGTTGTTTTCAATTTTTTTTTTTTCCTTCTAACAATCACTCATGGAATTGTCTAGTAGACCAACTTACTATTACCATGTGATCATCAAGTTGTGTACACCAATTATTTCATATAGATGTCCAACCAACTTAACTCCCACAACTACTGATTTCTAGTGAGGAATTTCGGAAACTTTCCCTCCTCCAATGGAGAGTTTCACAATTATTCCACAGACTCATAGATATTCTGGAATCTTTTCCACATCAAGTTTGAGGACAAAAGAGAAATCCATCCGAAAAATGAAAATTTATTTAGGGTCATATGTCATACACATGTTGTCGTGTCAAAATAACATTTGGTGAATATATCGAATTCATAATAATGGTTACCTAGACTTTGTGGTGACTAGTAAAAACGGTCACCAGACTTTAGTATTTGCAAAAATATTTACCCTATGATCAAAATGCATTTCATTAAAATCAGGATCTATTGCGTAAGGCTAACATATATAAACAACAAAAATACATATTGAGTAGAGCTTAAATGTATGCATAATGATAAAGAAAATAAAATTAATACGTAACAGTTTAATCAGACTTGTTGTGAAAGCCTAACTTAGTCGTAATTTAAATAATTTGGTGTTAAATTGTGAGTATTAACTACGTAAAATACTATCATCTATTACGTAAAAGAATTTTACATATCTTATTAGGGATAAACAAAAAACAATCACAACTCGACCCAACCCACCCGTATTTACTGCTCAAAATAAGGTTCAAGGTTGGGTAACATTTTTTTGTTTGTTTGTGGAAATTGTTTCTTTTGAGTTGGGTGGGGCATTGGATTATGCAACCTTAGAACCCGACTCAACCCATGTTACAACTACTTTCCTAACCGTTCTATACTTTCCTAACTGTTGGTATTCAAAAACATGTTTATTTCATACATGTAGGATTATTATCATGTTTTTTCCTTGTAGTCTCGCTAATCTAATGCATTTTTCAAGTGAAAAATAGTCATAATTTTAATAGTTATAGTTTTTATTCTTTCTTCTTCTTACCGTTGTTGGGTTGTTTTCATTCAAAATTAGAACCCGACCTAATCTTACACTAGTCATTAGCGTTCTAAATCTATTAGATGAATTTGAATTTAATATTTTTAAAACCATAATCCATGAATCATATAATTAAAATGACCAAACAGGAACCAACCTTTACATTCCTATTTCCCACTATTTACCTCCTCAAATGAACAAAATATAATTCCGTCCCCCTCCCCCGTCATAGTCGTTCCTTGACATAGAGGCCGGCCGGCGAGTCGGCGACCGACATGTTTTGTGTCTGACCGACACTTTTACAAGAGAGAGTCAATTGTATATCTAGGGTTTTGGAGAAACCTTAGCTTAAGCTACCTAAACCTGAAGAGCTCCTCCCCCCACCTATGGAATGATTACCATCACGCCCTCTCCTATATATTAATATATATGGTTTAGGGTAGCGTACGCCCGGGCGTACGCTAAGCTAGCGTACGCCCCATTGAGTTTTGCTATATAGATCATGAATCAATCGGAGTTTGGGGCATGATACTATACCCTAACCTCTAATGGGTGAACCCCAGTCCCTAATTTTCTAACCCAAATCATGAGGTTCGTTTAATCTCAAAATGAAAACCAATGAAAATTTCGACGAATCAGAATCATTGATTTTCATTTTTAAGATTAAACGAATCTCATGCTTTGGGTTAGTGAATTGGGGACTGGGATTCACCCATTAAGGGTTAGGGTATAGTATCATGTCCCAAACTCCAATTAATTCTTTGTCTAAATAGCAAAACTCAATGGGGCGTACGCTAGGTTAACGTACGCCCGGACGTACACTAGCCTTTGCCTAATATATATATATATATATATATATATGTAACATCTATCATTGCAAAATTGAAACAAATCGATCCCTTGTAGTTATTTCCCCTTGTGAAAGAAAAAAAAAGCTATCAATCCCCAACACGCCCTAACCTATAGCTTTATCCCTCTTTTCCTCCCTCTTCAGCTTTAGCCCCACCACCAAAAGCACTGGAAAGCGCCGGCCGGAGGGAAAAACTCGACGACCGCGGGGCTTCCCGCTTCAGAAAAAAATGGGGGGACGGGACTCCTTCTCCTTTTAAATGGAGAAGTCAAATCATTGCCAACTGCAGCTAGCTTACTTAAGATGTAGAAGGACTTATTTGTCCTTTAGTTGTTTGGTAATGTAATTAAGTGGTAACTAGTTTTTTACCCGGTCAGTTGGTCGGAGAAGTTCATTTTATTATTTATATTAGTTAACTTATTTATATGTTTGAACTTTTTGGATCTTGTATACATTTTTTACTCTCGCTTCATAAGTGAATATGTGGTATGCCTCTATCGAATATTATTTAATAGTTAGCACACTCGCTTGTGATATTTTTATTCTTTGATTATAAATCATGTCGTAAAGGTTTATCACATCCCATTTAGGATCGTATATAAAAAAATTTCCACAAAGACGCTCAAATTTATTATCTTATACAACATATATCAATTCATGATTCTCGAGTTTGTACGAACTCTCAGCCAATTAATCAGAGTTCAAATGATTGGAAAAAGATACTTGATTACTGGATAAATTATGTTTATCCCAATAGAAATTTGACACACATCGTATCCCTTATAATGATTAAATTCTCTAAACTTCTCTCATTTTTATTTTTATGTTCATGAAGTCTTTGTATAGCAACTTATTACAATTGCTAATATTTTAAATTTGTACTAACCCTCAACCCATGTCTTTTGTCTAGATGTTCGTTTAGAATCTGAATATAATGATTCTTATACAGTATCGAAGGTTCTCATCTTAACATGTTCCTTCAATGTATAATTTTTCAACTATTTGAATGTCCATTCACTAAAATTTCTTTATAATTGGTGTTTGTTCTAGAACAAAAATTTTATTACTTATATTAATAATTGGTAAAGTGTGTATACGACAGACAAATATTTCAGGTGCATTCAAAATTATATATTTCTTGAATAATTAACTTATAATTTTTTAACAAAATATTTTGTAGGAAAATTTAAAAATTCATACAAATATTATGTTTAGATATTAACAATAGATGTGTCTACAATACATCTATACACAGAGATTTTATTTTACTTTCAACACTAATTAATACCTTTGAACTCAGCTCCTTGGGTGGAATATGATATCAATTTTTTTGTTATTGCCAAAATTTGGTATGAAATCACAGACTCACAACTATGTAGACTTGTTACAATTTTCTTACTAAACTCATATTTATTAAATATTCTTCTTTTGACCCAATAGCTCAGTTTACACTATTGTAACTATAAACATTTTTTGTTATATATGTGAAGTAAAACATTAATGTTTATTTATTACCTCAATCTTCGAATTTTGTTTTTTCTTAGGATGAAATGTGATGTTTAACGTACATTTTTAACAAAGATTTCTCTAAATTTCACACATTTCATTTTTCAAGTGATCTCGTGTCTCAGTCAAAGTTCATCAACTATTATACTCAAGTTATTTTGGAAACTTCAATTTATAATCTTTATCAATAAATAACTCCAAGTTTGAAAAGAAAATTTCTTAGCATATGATGTAAGACCTCAATAGAGCTTGCTCAATCAACATGACCTAGAGAAAATATTAGTAATGTGAACTTAGGATACATTATAAATACTGCACATGCGATTCATATGTTTTTACTTGATCAGAATGAATAAAAAGCTTTTTTTAATAAATAAATTTTATTTCTTTGTCAAGTTTCTGTCTGACATTATCAACAAAATATTATTATTTTTGTGTATTTGTTTAAATTATTCATTAAAATGTTAATTATTATTAAGTTTTAGTAAAAATGAGCAGAAATTTACATAGTAATCTTTAATCATATATTTTTTGGTTTAAAAAGTGTGATATATATGTCACTCTACGAACATTAGTATACTGTTGCGTACATCGATATAATGCAAAAACCAAAATGTGATATATGTCACTCTCCATCATGATTGTCACGTCGGTCGACATGCCACCATCGAACTATTCAACCGGTACTAGTCATGAAATCGACATGACACCATCGGTATGACCGGTATGATTGTTTTACGAATTTCTTAGTAAAATACGTAGTTTTAGTGAATTTAAGTATGAGTACATGTAATTTTATCCTTAATTATGTATTTCTAAATCTACGAAATTCACACACTTTTCTATTTCAATAAACAAAAATCCAACATGAATTAAATCCTCGAATCCATAGACCAAATTCAAACAAAACCAACGCAACCATACCATAGTATGGTGGGATTGTTCCAAACGCAAACATAAAAGGTTACCAGCTTTCAGGCTTCCTACGTGTTGATGATAGAGAGATTTACCAAAAAGAGGGAGGGAGAGAGAGCATCTCAGTTGGCTTAAATTTCCATGAAAACATTTCTCCGTCTCACTCAATGTAAATAAATACAAAAAGCAGTTTGGATTATGAGTAAAAATATAATTAACAATTAATTAACTTGTACAAAACAAAAACAATGAACGCAGATGGGTTTAATTCTATTCTATTTTATTCCTCCTCGATCGACAGACATACATAAATTCCCTTTGAACCGCATTTCAAAGCTGCCTCTTTGCCAACGTAAATTCCCCTCTTTACAAACCTCGAGAGAGCGGCGGTCCAAGCCGTATGGATGACCGCGATTTTATTAACACTCGCCAAGTATAGTTCGACGAAGTACATAAATAAATAAATAAAACTTTTTTCCTCGTTAGATTGAGACTGTTGATGGAGAATAATCAATCAAAGAAAGGAGCATAAGGAGAATAATTTGGGGAAGATGAGAGGTCAGAGTCAGTCCATACTGCCAAATCTTTGTCGGAGCTTGCCTTGTCCTTTTTACTTCCTCTCATTCCTTAATCCATTCCCCCACCTTGTTGTTTCTCTTTCTCTACACATATATATATATATATATATATATATGTGCTTAACTAATTAATTAATTAGCATGTTACATATTGCCTGTTTTTCTACCCTCTTCTTTGGAGCTGGCATTGTTATAATATATATACAAGAATTGTAAAAAAAAAAAAAATGTATGCGTGGGTAATTTTGATGAGAGGTTGAAGTTAATCAAAATTATATTACCGGAGGTCTTTTCTTCCAGCCCTTTGTCGGAGCTAGTTCTCTGAATCTTTGTTTGAAGAAGTTCGTTCCGACCAGAAAATTTGTCTTTTAACATGAAAATTACAATTAATTTTGCGTTTCATCGATCGACAGCGTGTACATGAGGGATTGGCTAACTAGGTAGCTAGGGTTTGGTGTCTCCGAAATAAATTCCACACATACAGAAAATACAGGCGTGACACAAGCTAGCTAGCTTCATACTCATCATCATAAATTCTCTTGTTTTTGTCTCTTCTTAAACTCCAAATCTCTACTACCTAATCTATCTGATTATCATTGTCCTTATCGGAAACCCTAAAACATTTATTAAAATGTTTATGAGTGATTTTTTTGCCCTGGGTTGAATTTACGATACCATGGATACTATATTTCATTCTCATATTATTGCTAGATTATTTTTTGAAGTTGTAAAATTAGTTTATCAAATATACATTAATTTAAGACCAATATTTTGTCCACCTTGGGGTTATCCTCTCACGGTTTTGCACCATGCTGACTTTCCAATAGGTTATTCACCTTGCACTACTTCACATTGAGTACATTTAACTTTAGAGATCGTTTGGATTAGAGTTTTCTTTGTGGAATTTTAACACAATCACTTACATTGAGAGATTTTAATAGAATCACTCGTTTGGAAAAGATCTAAACGATTAGAGATTTTAAACATTAGTAAATTCAGAAACCCCCAATTGTGGGATTTAAAAATAGCTGATAACCATCAGCTATTTTTAAATCTCTCATTTTTTATTCCCTTCTTTCCAATACTTTCGTCTTTCGTCTTCCGTCTTCCCTACTTCCGGCTTGTTCCTCGATTTTCTCCTGATTGCTTGTCGATGATTGGGTGTTCTTTGGGAGGGGCAATTTTTGGGTTCGTTCCGGCAAATCGGCTATTGAAGAGACAAAGAACCCGATGATGGGAGGGAAAGCGAGGACATGCAGCAGCAGTGAGGGATCCACTGCCCCTTTCCAGCGACAATTGCTCCCGCAAACGATTCACATCCTCCCTTCCCATCTTCTTCGATGAGACTTGTCCACTACAAGAAACTTCACTTTCTGCGACGGAAAAAATTCGTCGCAAAATAACTAAAATCCGTCGCAAAAACCTTCCGCGACGAATTTCTCCGTCGCAGAAGGAAAAAAGTGTTCGTCGCGTATACAGCGTCGTAGAAAGTTCCGCGACGAATATTTTGGATTCGTCGCAATAAAAAGAAAGTCGTCGCTAAAAGTCGACTATTTTGCGACGACCATTTCGTCGCAAATTGATTCTTTGGCGACGACAAGTGTTTCGTTGCAGAAATTTTTTTATTTTGCAACGGATAGTTCGTCGCAGAAACGTTAATTTGCAACGGATCATTTCGTCGCAGAAAGGGTAAAGATCCAGCGACGAAGGCTTCCTTTATACTTTTTTACAATTTATTTTTGGGTAAATTTCAAGATAGGTCACAATTTATTTTTAGAATAATTTCAGAATAGGTCACAATTTTTTCCAAAGTTCCATATTTCGTCCAGAATAACTACACTAGCCATTCCTCATCCAAAACCCAGATTTGCAAGTCAGAATGCCAAATCTGCAAAGAAAATAAGGGCTGACTTTGTAAATACAATAAAAACTAAGGGAACTCTCTAGAAAAACAAAAAACCAAATCAAAGCAGGACAAACAAAATTAAATCAAACAAAAGCATTAACCCATGAGAAATAAAAAGAATCAAAGTCAGATCTGGTTTCTTCCTTTCATTCGCTTTTCTACTCGGAAGAGCAGATCTGTTTGTCTTGGCGCGCCTAGAGCAGATTCCCCGCGGCCCGAGTAGAAATAGGGATACGAAAAATCGACTACCTACCCAGATCTGGTTTCTTCCTGTCTTTCGCTTCTCTACTACCCAGATCTCCTCTCCCTACTTGTCTGGCGATCGATCCCTTCACCTCCGTCAACACCCGAGGCCACCACGTGACCCCCTTTTCTTCCACCCTCGTCCAAAACCAAAACCCAGAAAGTAAACTGTCAGAATCCCATTTTTGAACTAGAAAACCAAAAGGAAAACATGCATGTAAGCCGAATCCTACCCCGGATAGTTGCTTTTCTGATCTGTTTCTTCCATATCGGAGGAAGAAGCCATGGGAGAGAAAACGAGGGATGGAGGAGAAGTAGAGATCACAAGCAAAAAAAAAAGGAGGACAATCGATGGAAAGAAGATTCTAGGATTTTTTCTCTACTGTGGGTTGTCGTTCACAGATAGATCGAGAGGAGAAAAGAGAAAGGAAAAGATGCGGCAAGGAGGAAGAAAGGAAGATGCGGCTAGGGTTTAATGAGAGAGATTGGTGTTCCAGATTTGAGTTTCTAGTTATATACTGCCGCTGTGTGTTTGCAATTACAAAAAGTGCCCTTCATTCTTTAAAACGTAAAAAAAGAAAGGGAATGCTCAAACTGAGCATCGAACACGAGACCAACCATTAATTGGGAGAACCAACACAACCACCTGCGCTCCACAATTTTTTGGTTAAGTTAGTGATTCGTATATATTTACCTCTTATATTAATAAAATCACAAATATTGAATGCAATAAGTTTTTTTAAAATAGTTTTGTACATTAGGTATTCATAAACTAATTCATGCATATTATGTCTCCCACTTTTAAATAATTAAATTATTGAATATTCTTAATACGCAAATATCGCGAGACATTCTACGACGACAAACAATCGCCGAATAATATATATTACATTTTGCGACGATAATCGTCGCAGAAAGTCCCAAACATTCTGCAACGATAGACAATCGTTGCAGAAAGTCTCATCTACGATGATAGACATTCGTCGCAGAAAGTCTCACACATTCTGCGACGACAAACAACCGTCGCCGAAGTCTCAACATTCTGCGACGACAAAATATCGTCGCCAAAAGTCTCTAAACATTTTGCGACGGTTGTTTATCGTCCCTGAAAGTCTCCAAACAATCTGCGACGACATACAATCATCGCCGAAAGTTTTCAATAAGCTGCGACGATAAACAGTCGTCGCAGAAAGTCTCTAAACATTCTGCGACGATCAATAATCGTCGCAGAAAGTCTCTAAACATTCCGCGACGAAGTAGAGCGTCGTGAAAAAGAAATGGTCGTCGCAAAAACATTTACCCAACTTACAACAAAATATTAACATAATTCGCGACGAAAATGCCAAATTCGTCGCCAAATGCTCACTTTCTACGACGAATTTTATATCGTCGCAAAAAAATTCGTCGCAAAAGGTGCAGTTTCTTGTAGTGGTCCTTCCAGATCGAAACCCTTTTCTGGTTTCTTTCAATTGATGGTGTAGATCTGATTGCCTAAATCTTCGATTATTGACGGTGATATGACTGGGCGACGAGGAAATGGATTTCTCTCCGAGCTTCCGTGAGATGCCTACGACGTGGAAGACGATGAACAAAGAGGGCAACCTAGAAATTTGGCGTTTCTCATTAAGAACCCACATATTTAAACAAACAAAGGATTTGATATAAATCCTTAATCACAAATATCTGGTTTTTTAGTTGAGTGATCTGAGGCAAAATCTCTCACAAATCTCTCAAATTAAAAACTTGAATCCAAACGACCCCTTAGAGTTATGGTCATGGTGTCTCTTGTAAATTTTTTATATGAGATTTGCCTAAGATGATATAAGTGATATCAATTTGATTTTATTGTTACATACTATATTTAAAGTATTCAAACCTGAAGACTAGTGATAAAACTACTAGATTAAGGCCTTGCTCGCTCAAACAAATTTAAACATGTCACGATGGTATTAACTTCGTGTATTACTTAAATTTCTCAATAACAAGAACATAATCTTTCTTGGGGCCACCATTCGAACTTTGTCATGTATGCGGTCCATAATATTGATAAACAAGAACAAATTCACTAAATAATCCATCATGAATGATTGGGTATGCCTATGGTGACATGCATGACATCGTAACTTGCACTTTTAGGTCGACCTTGTATAGGATTAAGTCGACCTAATATGCACCTTTAGGCCGACCTTATATAAGATTAGGTCGACCTAATATGTCGTTTCAGTTTTGTGAGGTTCAACGACGCGGTTGACCTTTTATAGCAAATGGTCGACCTCTTGGGAAGCACATGGATGGCATGTACGACTAGAATTATGTGGTTTTATTGTTAAGTGTTAAAAACGATTGTGGATTTATATTATGTGGTTTTAGATTTTAGTTATGTGTGAACAATTATGATTTGTGTTTTATTGTATTTCTTGTTAGTCTGTTTAGTTGTTATGTTATGAAGTTATGATTCCTTGTTATCATTATTTATGACTGACTCTGTTGGTTTGAAACGTAATTTGTACGAGCAAAAGAACCACCCACTTCGCTTCCCAAAAATGTCGATCATTTGCTATAAAAGGTCAACCGTGTCGTAGAACCTCACAAAACTGAAACGGGATATTAGGTCGACCTAATCCTATATAAAGCCGACCTAAAAGTACAGATTAGTTCGATCTAATCCTATATAAGGTCGAGCTAAAAGTGCAAGTTAATGTCACCGTAGCAAAATCGTAAATGATTAGGTTCCATAAAAAAAATACATCATATTGTAATTGAGATCATTTACAACGGAAACAATAATAATTATGTTCATTAGCATGTAATTCTTAATTTTTTTTGTCGACCTATAATTCTTAATTAATTGGTTATATGCTTGGAATTCGGTGGGGATTAAGGAACATGTTTATTTGTTTTGGGGGACCTGCCATGTCGTTTTTTGAAACCGAATATTTAGCTCATCAAAGAATGTGTATTTTGTTTCAACTTGCTTCATGCTTCATCATCGGATTCCTCATCAAATGGTTTTCAATAAAGATCTTTTTATTCCCCTAATCTACTTGTCTTTGATTCCTATTAATTACTTAGTATGGTAAGTGGATGAAAACTGAGTTTTATTTTTTTACGATTCATTTCCTATGGGACTATGGGAGCACTTCTACTGCTATAATGGTTTCCCCTAATCTACTTGTAAAATTCCTCTTCCTATGGATCTAATTGTTTAGCTCATAATGGTACCACGACAAGCTCACCAGTGTCAATTGTATGCTCCAATAGGCAATAGCGATGAGAAGTCCCTCAATGCATAGTGATAGTGCAAAAAGCAAGGGAGAAGGATGAGAAAGGGTCACCTTGCCGCAAGCCCCTACTCTGCAGATAAACAGCCCTCCTAGACTACCATGCATTCATCACTGTAGAGAAGCAGCTCGATGTGACACGATGACGAAATTCAATTTATTCATTGATGACATAATCCATATTTCGTCATCAAAGCAAACAACAAGAAAGGCCATTCTACCTGATCATTGGCCTTGTATATATCGAGTTTCAAAGTATGCTTCCAATTCAACCATTGTATGGTCTCGTCACAGATTTACAAAGACTGATTAGTTGGAATTGCTTCATATAGTCTCAACCGAATCCACTTTAGGTATCAAATTTATCCCTGTGAACGTAAGGTTTACATCCACTTTATAGGTTCATGCTTGTGAATTAAAAATTCCACGAAAAGGAACAAAAATTTGGCAGACAATGAAACCATCGACCATATCTCACTAGTAATAAACAAAGACCCCATCCCATCAAAGGAATTAATCACTTCAATTAGTATACTGATCCCAATACCAATAGCATTCCACAACCACAAATTTCTTTTAAGCTTTTCATTGTTCATTAATTAATTCCTTAAGCACCCATTAGCAATTCTTTATCATAATCTTTTCTGTTCAACACTTTAGTGTACTTTTGTCCTTTTGTAAAATAGCCACCCACTTTTGTTAGGAGAGGAAGAAATGAAAAATAGATCCGATCCCCTCCACTAATGCCCTGAGAACAAACAAAAATCACATGATTTGGGTTACACACACCTTTTTAATTGGTAAATTAATGGCAATTATTTTCCACTATAATCCTTTTATCCAAAGGCGATAGTGATAGGAATTGAAGGGAGAAAAGTCAACTGAAAGAAGACTTCTTAAGTGAATATTTGAGAGGATAAGAATTAAAACTTATCGTTCAATCATGTTTATTTTATTTAAAATAGTGTTGGGGTTACTTAAAAATTGTGCTTATATTTGTAAGAATTGGTTTCAAACTATCTTTATAGCGTACAACGAATACAGTGGCTCAGTCTCGAAGCTAAAAAAACTAGGTTAGTGAAAATTGTAGGGAGTAATATTAACTAATTTTATGTGTAACGTACGTGACACTTGAGAGCCCATTTTTTTTTTTCATTTCACATAGGAGTAGTGCATACTAACGTGCCATCTCGAAAAAGACACCTCTTTCCTCAACCCTTTCCCACTCCGGTAGTAATAAGTAGTGATGGTTGTGATGACAATAGTGAAAAATCCTCACTTGAAATCGACTTCTCGAAACTTCTCATCACGTCCGTTTGACTTGAGATACCAAGTGCTGTATGTATAGTCTGAAACGTTTCATTATTCAAAGTATTTGTGGCCATTAATTTTTTTTTTCTTTCTCAGTGCTCTTATCTGTGCATTTTAGGGTTAGTTTACTTGTATGGTCCAGAACTGATCGTGGTCATGGCCAAACATAACAACAAAGCTGAAACGTCTCTTGAAGATAGCGCGCGGTGGAACGAAAAGAAGTCACGATCAGTCAACCTCAGGCGGCTCAAGTGAAGTAACTAGGGTTGTCTAACGGGCTGGTTTCGCATCTAATGTGGTTTAACAGTAACAGTATGAGGAATTTTATAATGCTATATAGCATTGGTGCTATAGATTTATGCTTTTATGGTACAACTTGAAATTATACTTTTAGGGATCGTTTGAAAGTTGCGATTGTTAAATAGATGTATTGTTGAGAATGCATGTATAATATTATACATGTATTGTCGAATTTGATGAATTGTAGAATACAACGTTTGGTATGTGTGATTGTGTATGTCGCATCAGCTAAAAGCTGACACAAAACAATCTCAACTCAACTATCTCAACAATCACAACTAAAAGTTGAGATATAACAATCACTCAAAATGAGTGATAGTTTCTGTCACATCACAGAAACAATCCATGTATTGTTTCTGCTAAAAAAACAAAAAAATGATGCATTGTAAATAATACATGCATAATAACAATCTCAACAAAACTATCGCAACTTCCAAACGACCCCTTAGCGTTATAGTACAACTTCAGATTGTAGCTATACTTTTTGTACAAATTTTTTTATGGTACAACTTGAACTTGTACCTTTATGTGATGGTACAACTTCAAGTTGTAAAATTGTACCATAATAGTTAACTAATCATAAAATAGTTAACTAATCAGCGAGAAATTCATCGCTTATTTTATTGTGCAAATCATATTTCACATGTTCTATTGTTGAAAAGGTTTTCTCCATATTAGCTGTTGAAACGACTTGTATTTTGTGTTCATTTCTATTTCTCCTAGTTGCTTAGTAATTTTTCAAGGGAACAAACCTCATAAATCTTTTAGTCTTTTACGTTTTAGACTTTTAGAAATTTAGGTTACCTTGTGATTTGAATATGTTCATCTAACCCATTTTCTCAATTATACATAATCTTATTATAAAATGAAACTGAGCCGAATGACTAAAATCAATAAACACATAAGGACTATACTAGTTTCGGATCCAGAGTAGAGCTGGAGCGTGGCTCGGGATCAGTGGCGGACCCAAAAAATTTCTCAAGGGTATTCAATAATATAAATAATTAATAAATCTTAAATCAATTTAAAAATTCTGGAAAAATTAATCCATATAGTACATCGGTTCATCGTTTTTTACAACGAACCACAACATATTTTTCATATTTAATTTTTTTCTAATATACACTTGTCACTTATGTTGCGACTCGTACATTTTTCAATAAACAAAAAAATCATTAATAAACTGGTCCCCCATCCGATTTTGAAGATTGCTCTTGACGTATTCCAGCATACCAGGATGGATTAAATCCACTCATATGAATAATGGGAGAAGTAGGATGAGTTGATTGATAATGACCCTTTTGAAGATATACTCTCGAATTCCTCTTGCTTATTAGTAGGATTCAGTAGAGAATAACCACAGATCATCTATCAAATTATTCACATTATCTATCTCATTCTCCTGGTTTAGAGGCGGACTTCAAGGGCACAATTGATTGAACAAAAGTAAAGAAGATTGAGTTTCAATACGTTGGTTTTTGCTCGATTCTCCATTATCCTTTTTCAGATTTAGAGTAATCATCGATCTTTTATCAAATATATTGGGTAAATATAATTTAATATCCAAATCTTTCATTTTAAACAATATAATAGCCAAACCTTTTCGAAAACAATTTAATATTCAAATCGTCAACTTTCTGTCTGTTTAACCGTTAGTTGACACTTCAAAAAAGTTCGAAGTACGACACTTCATCAATATCCATCGATATCTTCTCTGAAAAACCACCAACATATCCTAGTTCCAAACCCGAGA